CCCCCCCTCCTTGGTTCGCTTGAAGTACACGGCCGCACGGTTTCGTCGCAAAAAACGAAGCAAGGGGCCGCTAACTGGGACATCATCAGGAAGGTGAAGGAAGTCGCGGGCATCCCTGTGGTGGCCAACGGGGGCATCGAGACAGGGGCTGACGCGGAGCGATTGCTGGAGGAGACCGGCGCAGACGCCGTCATGTCGTCCGAAGGCTTGTTGGAAAACCCCGCGCTCTTCGACAGAGATCTCATCCCTATTGAGGAGCTGCAGGGCGTCGAGGTGAGGAGGGTGTCTTCGTTCAGTTGCTATTCTGCGAGGTAATGCTTGAATCGATATCGGTGTGTCTGGATGTGGTCAGCCTTTCTATTTCCTACAAGAATGTGTGTGTCCAAAAGGTATAACCTTTGGGTGTATGCACGGCTCTTGTGCTGCTGTTCTGGCGAGGTACGGGACGGTTGCTTTCACTTTGTCCACAGCATGGGCAGCGGCTTGTTGCGACTGCAGCCTAGCTCTTTCAAAAATAGACGTTGTGAACAGCTGAGTGCCAAGCGGTCCGACCGCGTGCAAGGAGGACACCGCGCATGTTCTTCACATGTTTAACCATAAACGCCGGCTTGCCGGGGCCTCAGGTCGCTCATCGCATATTGTCGTTCACGACGGAATACATGGAGCTCGTGAAGCTGTATCCAGCGCCAATGATCTCCATCAAGGGGGTGAGAGCCATTGTTTCGTCCGTTGTATTCGATCCACTGGACGAGAACGGCAGTCCTGTAAAGTAGGTTCGGTGTAACCGCCACGGCGTAGCCGTCAATACCCCCGTTGTCCGTTCGTAGGAGACCAGGGTATGCACCGATAATCGAATGCTGTGCACACTGGAGAAGGGTTTCCCTTGGCAAGCAAGTCTACCGGTTGACTCCGTTCATGATACGCGTTCTAGTCCAACGACCAGTAGTGTTCTATACGACGACAAGTCATGTCGGAGTACCCGCACGCATCCCGCGGCGAAGCTTTCAGAGGCCCTACACAGAGTAGTGGCTGGATGGCCCTGAGTTCGCTTTGCTGAGTCTTGCACCTTGTGCCACCGCCTGATTGCTGTCAGCACCTGTTCAAGATGCTCTACCGGCTGCTGGAGTGCCACCACGACCTACGCGCCCGCCTGGGGCACTACCACTGCGACGCCATGGAGGCGGATGTCATCGTACGAGAGGCAAGCCGAACACACACACCCGCCTACATATTCCCGTCTTCTTGTCGGTGGCACTTCGCTTCTTCACGTCGTCGGTGCATGGACCTTGTTTACACACAAACTTGTTTGTCGCGAGTGCTGCCGTGTACCCTCCACTTGCTGATGTGCTGGCGACCGGTACAGTGGTTCATTTGGGTCCGGTATGATGTCGGGATGTGTGTTGAATAGCACCGCAAGGACGTAGTAGTTGCGTGCTCGGTGCAAGGTCGGATATCGATCGACTTGCGGCCCGGTTTTTTCAGAGTGCGTGCATTTCTGTGGCAGTGTGTATTTTTGGGGGGGAGAATTTGAAGGTTCCTGGGGGCACAACACGATCCTCTTTCGCCTTTGCTCAGTTGCAGACAAGAGACTGTATCAACATCACCTCCGCAGACAACGTGCTATTAGAGCCCGATCTCTGGATGTTGGCAGCTTTTTTCGTGCGTGGTTTTGTTCACGCCTGGGGTCTACACTGTGTGCGCTGACACGATTGACTGCCTTCAACTGAAGCCCAGCCCAACCCCCCCCTGATCCTACCCAAACGTTGCCACAGCTGTGCCATCGATATTTCTTCGATCCTGATACGCGAACGCCGTTGGATCGGGTTATGGACACGTCGGATTTGCGCGTGTCACCCAAGCAGTGGTATAGACGGCACAGGAAGGACGAGACATTTTAACACACAAGGCCAACTTGTGGACGTATTTTGTTTTTCACACATAAAAGAGTGTCATAGAGGGCTAGGTTCGTGGTTTCCTAGTGTGTGTTTGCCTCTCTGTTGGCCTCCTTGTAGTCTATTCATCTAGTATTCACACGTGTATAGTTAGAGGCCTCCAACTAGGTTTTGCGCCCACTCAAACACGTACTCGAGGGCAGGCAGGAGGGGTTCAACAACACGGGCGTTGCTTTAGATTAGGGCGGAGTGTGGGTTCTATTTTTCAAGGTTACATGCCAGGACACAAGATGCTACAGCACACCGTACAGCAGTAAATGTTAGACTGCATTCTACTGTGTACCTGTGGAACTGATGGAGTTGGCTTACGGCGAACGCAACGGAGCTGGACAGAAGGTTCCTTCTCGGAGTATTTTTTTTCCTTCCACCCCAAGTCGACAGGTCTGTCCCTCCACTCACTGAAACGACTTGAGCACATCCCTTTGCACTGCTGTAGTGGTTATATCTCGAACGGTAGCAGTCTTTCTGTGTTTTTTTGTCTAGTCTACTTTTTTCGAACGCACTTCATTCCTCAAGATCAACTTAAAGGGTCCGAAAAACAAAGATGCAGCAAAATGTAAATGTTTGACGTTATACTAGACTCTAAGTCTACCATGTCGAGTCACACTTCGTGGCAATTCGATTCACACGGTTGTGCCGAGATAGTGTTTTGTCTGCTTTTTTTGGAGATGCATCATATCATACTCCTTCACACAAAACAGCGTACGTGTAGCATACAGAGAGGTGCACAGGATGGCGTCCAATCTGTCTGTGTTGTTGACCCTGTTACCCACGGGGGAGTTATCGCTGCGTTGCTGCTCGGGAAATCGTGGAAAAACAGAACTTTCGTTTCCCTGACTGTGGATTCATTGCTAATCTATCTTCGACTAGTCTAGACTCTTTTCTTCGATAGAGATGGATTCGTTGTGGGTCATACTGATGAAATAGAAGAGGGGGTCCTGGTGTCCTGACAAACATTTGTTGTTTTGTTCACATTAAATTCGTGTCAGTTGCTAATCCCAAAATCTAGCGAAGACTCCGTCTGCGGCCACAGAATGCTAGAACCATCAGAAGATCTAAAGAACACGCACACTAATAGCAAGGAAAGGGTATACAAGCCCGAGGAGGTACACCTACAATCCCTGCAGCACGTTTGCGTGCTCATAACTGAACTACACGCCCACACACTGCGGGGAGGGAGTGCTGCACCCTCCTCATCAAAACACCACAGGCAAGGACCGAGCTCTGCAGATGTGGATTGATGCGAGGAAATTCGCCGCTCGGACAATACGGAAGAAAGCACACCCGCAACGCGAGGTGGACCGAGAGAGACACGACACCGCAGCGGCCGTCAAGGCGGCTGCGCAGAAGAAGGCACGAGAAAGCGACCTATCGTTCGGCACGTTCAACGTATTCACGCTCGCCTACAGCGGTAGGAACCCCATCGGTCACAGCGTGATGACGGTCATGCAGATTTGTTCGGCGACTGGCTGTGATGTGATCGGACTACGTTCAATTGCACACGACGGGTACGTCATCATCTGGAGTGGCGCCCGTGCTGGCACCAAGGACAAGAGGGGCGTACACGGTGTGGGCATAGCGATCAAGGAGGCCATGTGGGAGAGTGTGGGCGAGGAAGGTAGGACGGTGGAGTGCATTAGCCCGAGGCTGATGAAGGTGTGTCTACAACTTGGCCGCACGTGCGGAGTAACTTTCGTGGTGGGGTACGCCCCCGCGGAAACTGTCCGCACCACCGCGGGCGGTGATGTTAACGCCAAAGACTCCTCCTGGACTGCTCTCGACGCAGCGATCCGGGAGATTCACAGCTGTGACTATCTCGTGGTGCTAATGGACGCCAACGCACGCACTGGTAGGAGGCGAGACGGGTGCTGCGATGCCAAGATTATGGGCGCGTACGGACGCGACATTATGAACAACAACGGGGAACGACTCCTTGGACTGGCGTCAGACAACCAACTCTCCCTGACCAACACCTACTTCCGGACACCGAAAGGTGGAGTGCAGCACACATTCCAGAGCTCCAACAAGGGGAAGGAGAAGTACCGCCTCGACTTCATCCTCATGCGTCAGGCGGACCGGCGTTTCGTGCGCAATGTCTCCGTCAAACGGGTCGACTTCAAGGACTCTGACCACAACCTCGTGCTTACGACTGTCCGCCTCCCCCCCCGTGTCGCACCCAACCGACGAGTGCGGGGGAACAGCGGAAGCAGCCGGATCCGTATCGACCTCGAGCGGTTAATGAAGGACAAATACCTACGGATCGCCTTCCGAAACAGGGCCTCCAGCCGCCCTCCACCCACGGCGCTCAGGCGGCCAACGGGAGAGACCGCCGCCGAGCTAACGGCTACGGTGATGTCGGCCGCTGCTGAGACCGCGCCGCTGGCGAGGTGCGCACGAGGGCAGAGAGGCTGGTACACGAGCGAAGCGCAGCGTGAGATCTCCGAAGCGTCTAAAGATTAAGGCGGCCCAGCAGCAACTGCGTGGGGCCTCAAAGAACAGCGCCTTCGAGGCGACCCTGAAGGCGATGCTCAAGGCTGTTTGCCATCCAGCGGCTCATGATGAGCTCGAGAGGAAGAAGAGTACTGCGGTATTCGAGTGCTTCGTCGACCTCACCAAGGCCTACGATTCGGTGGACCGAGACCTACTGTGGGACGTGCTCCGACGCTTCGGCGTACCTCCGACGATGCTGGCGGTCATTCGCCACTTCCACGAGGGCATGAGGGCGCGCGTCCGAACGGACGACGGGCAGTACTCGGATTGGTTCGACGTGGGCCAAGGCCTCCGACAGGGATGCAACCTGGCCCCGCTGCTGTTCAACTTGTTCTTTGCCGCGATGCTCATGGTCGCCGTGGCCGAGTTCAAGGTGACGGCGGACATGGTCAAAATCTGGACACAAGTGGATGGAGTATACATACATACGGGCAACAAGGACAGGTCGGCGGGGAAGAAGACGACGGTGGTGACGGACGCGGAGGCCCTGTGGGCCATGCTCTACGCTGACGACGCGGCCATCGTCTCGCGCTCGCCGGAGAGTCTCGAGAAGATGATGTCGGTCATCGTGCGCGTGGCCGGCCTGTTCGGACTGATGGTATCGGAGCCAAAGACGGAGATCATGTGCATGCTGCCGAAAGGGATCGAGGAACACCTGTTCACGGTCAGCGCCGCCGGCCAGACGTACAAGCAGACAGATCGGTTTGTGTACCTCGGACGTACCATCTCCGCGGACGGGAAGGCCGACCGGGAGATCACGAGCCGCAGCTGCCGAGCGTGGAAGTGCTACCGCCGGAACAGTGCTTCGATGTACGACAGGCGACGGGCCAACCGCCAGCTCAAGATCCGGCTTCTCCAGGCTGAAGTGGTGGAGACTCTCCTGTATGGGTGCGCCTCGTGGAGCCTAACAGCGGAGCACTACACGAAGCTCAATGGGACCCACCGCCAGTTCCTCACACGGTGCATCGGCTGGAGCAAGCGGAAACGCTCCGACCGCCCCCTGTCCTATGCCCAGGCCCTCATCCAGGCAGGCTGCGAGGAAACCATCGAGGCCACCGTGCGCAAACGGAGACTGTGTTTCGCGGGCTTCGTTATGCGCATGGAGGACAACCGCCTCCCCAAGCGCATGCTGTTAGGAGCGATGGCGGGGGGCGTGGGATACCGGGGCGGGCAGGAGAGCGACTGGGTGTCTCGTCTAGGAGAGGACCTCGTGGCCTTCAGCATGGGAGACGAAAAAGAAGGAGGGAAATGGAAAGCGAGCGCCAAGGACCCGGAGGTGTGGTACAAACAACAAGGTCGAGGACGGGGCGGCATGGTTCACGAGGAAATGGCAGAGGCAGGAGGCGGAAGCGTCCGCGAAGCGCCAGCTCGCGAGGGAAGCAGAAGCAGAGAGTACGACCATCTCAGGACCGAAGAGAAAGAGAACCGGCGAAGCGGCGGTGGGGGGGAAGAAACGGCGAACGGGCACTGCTGTAGAAGCGAGTAGGGCGGCCGAGGCAACGCTTGTGGCGAACTATGCACCCGGCTGATGTTGTTGCGCCCGGTTTCCCTCCCTGCCGTATGCTATACTCCTTTATNATATAAAAGCGAGTAGGGCGGCCGTGGCAGCACTTGTGGCGAACTGTCTACCCGGCAAATGTTGTTGTTGCTTCCTGTTTCCCTCCCTGTTGTATGCTATACTCCTTCATGTATGTCCTTTGTATTGCCTTCGGCCTCTGTGCTGTGTTTTATTTTTTGTTATGTTCTCCCTGCCTACTCTGCTGTGTTGGGTACCTTGATCTCGCTTTTGCTGTTGCTTTTGTTTTTGTACATCTGGCTGTCTGCCCATCTGCCGCCTCTTTGTCTNTTTTGCTGTTGCTTTTGTTTTTGTACATCTGGCTGTCTGCCCATCTGCCGCCACTTTGTCCTGTTTGCTCCGTTACTCTCATGCCCTGGTGCGTAGTGCCTGGTGCTGGTACGTTACCCTTTGATTTTTTCTTTAGGCGGGTGTGGGAAGCGTCCTCCTTTATTTTTGTTTTGATCGGTTTCAGAGAGCTCTTTCTCGAACCGTCGGTGCGGTACCTGTTGTTTTCTTTCTATCATGTTTTCTTTTTCCGAGTGGTTTATACCCTATTTTTGTTGTGTTTCCCCGCGGCGTCGTATGTGCCGGGTTTTGAGACCAGGGGCTCCCCATTTTTTGTGGACTAGACTGTAGACTAGAGCTAATGTGAGAACCAGCAACAACAACAACAACAACAACAACAACACTACAATTCGACTACAGCAGCAGCATCATCCCCCTTGTCCGGCACTTAACCAAAATGAATGTTTGTCGACTACAGCGTACTGCTGTCGGAAGTGCTTTCTGTACAACGATGACACCATGGTGCATGGTACACAAGATTGGGGCATGCAGCTGCTGCCTGAAGTGCTGCCAGAATTAGTCCGTGGACATACAATGAAGAAGAACAACCAACCAAAGCCATCATTGCAATTGACAATCACCCGAATCTATCCAGATCATCTGTGTTAGACACAGCAGTGTAAACATCGACACTGACTAGGAATCATTCCACATTGAAGGGGTCTTCCACGATGCCGGTACACAATTAAGGCAGCCGGGCTATCCGCGCCATCTCTGCCGCGTCTCTCTACAAACCTAGTGACGTCATCACACAGACCCAACACCTATGCTGTAGTCTATTAAAAAAAAAACGGAAAAAAATTGACAACATAAGAGATGTTTGTCCGTGCGCCACGGTTCGATCCCGTCCGCATGCTCGGGTTCCGCATGCTCCGGTGCCGCTTCTCCGGTGCTGCTGTGGCCAGCCCTACAACGACCAAACTCGACCCGCTCCGCTTCGTACACGCTCTCGTTGCTGTCCTTCCCAGTCGGTTCCTCGCTTTCTCCCTCGTTGCCCTTCGGGTTCTTGGTCTGAAAATTCTCGCGCCGAAGGGTCAACCAGCCCAATCAGTTCGTCACCACCTGTCCCCATTGTTGTTGTTGTTGTTGTTGTCTTCACATTAAAAACCGTTCCGATCTCACTCTACCCACTACCTTCGTATGTCCGTACTGATCCAACACTCGACGCGGTCGATTCCTGTGGTCGCAGGCTAACTTACCCTTAAAAGGCACACTCAAATATAATGGCCCCGAGGGGTCTGCAAGTCAATAGAAATCAACGACAGATATTCTGGAGTCCTCCACTCCCTCTGCGCGCTATGCGAGGTAGCAACTGAGACCAGGAATCATCATCACGGGCCGGAGAGAATGACGTACACCCCCTTGGTTCAATCTTGGTACTTCACAACGCAAGCAGAGACAACGCCAACTGGCACAGAAAATGAGAGACAAAGAGAAAAAGAGAAGAAAATAAAAGGAAACAGTAAAGAGAAAATGAAATAAAAAGAGCGAAGACAAACAGGGACCAGGCCGAAAATAACAAGAAATAAGAGACAGAAAAAGGCACACGGTGGAGAGACCACTAACGACAAGCAAACACGCAAACATGGCCACCAACCAGCGATACATTGTAATGGTACGTCATCGCTAGTGGGGGGTTGGTGCAATGGTGCAGCGTTGGGGGGGGAGGGAATTGGCTAAAAGAAGTTCAATCCGGCACGTATCGCGCCACTCGGTCCGTCTCTTCTCGTTTGCTTTCTTCCCTCGCCGTCTCGTCCGTCTCCTGCCCCCCTCCCGCTCCATTGGTTGGTGGCTTGTGGTTTCGTTTGAGCGCCCGTTGTCGGCTGGCCTCTTCTTCCTTCTCGTGCTAGGAGGTCATGAACCTCTCAGCTCCCTGCAGCACCGCCGCATGCCAGGGTACTCCCCCCTCTACCTTCGCGGCTTCCGTCCACTTTAACTTCGGCGCCGTGTCTTTCGGCATCGGGATTCCGAGACAACATGGATCGGTTTTCGTAGATCCGTGGTCGGCNTAAAAGGCACACTCAAATATAATGGCCCCGAGGGGTCTGCAAGTCAATAGAAATCAACGACAGATATTCTGGAGTCCTCCACTCCCTCTGCGCGCTATGCGAGGTAGCAACTGAGACCAGGAATCATCATCACGGGCCGGAGAGAATGAGGTACACCCCCTTGGTTCAATCTTGGTACTTCACAACGCAAGCAGAGACAACGCCAACTGGCACAGAAAATGAGAGACAAAGAGAAAAAGAGAAGAAAATAAAAGGAAACAGTAAAGAGAAAATGAAATAAAAAGAGCGAAGACAAACAGGGACCAGGCCGAAAATAACAAGAAATAAGAGACAGAAAAAGGCACACGGTGGAGAGACCACTAACGA